GTACCCCTCGTCGAGGTGATAATGGTCACGCAGCACACATAATATTGCCCAATAGGCTGTAGTTAACATCAACTCCTACCATCAAAATTTCTCCAGTTCAATCGAGGTGCGATCAGTTCATTACAGACTATTCATATCTATCAAACACAAAACTCAAGCGCCGAATTAACATTGAATTTAAAATATTCATGAAGAATTGAATGGAATAATCAAATCACCTATTCGAAACGTCGGTGTATTCATTTGCTACTAGATACAATTTCTACTAGTTACACTGTGCCATAAATTTGCATTACAACATGATAACATGGATAGTGCATTTGATACAATAGCCACACAAATCATCTATATATACATAATCATAGAAAATTTCATACAACACGATGACATTGGGATACTAACATCGTACATCATTAGTGCAGCGGTTGTAGTTGATGTAGCGTTGTGAGGTTGCAATCTGTGACATCAATGCAAAGATCTGATCGAATGCCAATAGTGGGATTCTCTCATGTATTTGATTTGAAGTTAGTGGTGCGGATTACGAATGCGTTCTGTTGCGAGGTAAGCTGGTGGCGTTACGTATGGGTGCCTTTCGATGTAGAGAATATATGTATGCCCACCATAAAAATGTTACATCTACGCTCCTGCACAAATAAATGTCGACAATCAATGATTGCATGATAAGAAATTTTTATTAACTGTCAATTCTTAAGCTTATCGTGCATTTCCAAAGCAAAATACATGAAATAAATATCGAGAAATGCTAGCATAAGACTTCATACCACTTTCAAAATTGAACTACAACTTATCCAAATCCCAAAAAAATATCTAACCTTATCGGGCATATTCCAATCAAAATACATGAAAGTAATATCGATTTTGATGTCCGTAAATGCTTCGAATTATCAAAACCCACAAGACAATAAGAATCTGAAGGACCACCAAGCAATAAGAAAATTAGAATTTTTATGTTACAACTCGTCACCATTCCCAACCAACAAGTAAGAATAATCAACTAGAACTTTGTACGCTTGCAAAAAGAGGGAGGGATTTCACATCAATCATCAACTCTAGAAAAATTCTATCATAAATGCACAAGCAAGAACTATAGTTCTAATTTAAAACATAATGTCCAGAGAGGAACCATAGTTATGTAAGTCATGGTTGATATCTCATGAATGTACATATCTTATGAGCAATGAGCATCAAGTAAAGGCTTACCTTCACTTTTTCCAATAGCTTTTTGGCATCAGCGTTATTTTTGAAGGTGATCACGGACAGGCTGCCAAGTTTAGGTTCATGAGATTTAGAATGACAGAACAATAAATTAGAATTTGAGTAAACAACAATCATCAAATTCAAATATTGATAAGAGAGAACACTAACGTATAATTCAACAAACAGGTGGTGCAAAGAGTTGAACTAACCTGACTTGCAATGGAGAACAACATAACACACCTCCCGTCTGCCGAACCACTTCCTTGTAGCGCCAAGGATCCTCACCATCGTCGTCGTGCTTAATGCGAAAGCAGCTCCTTACAAAGCCAAGCCGTCTTCGACCTCCGCCATTACTCCGAGTGCTCCTCAAGCTCGTCCACTAGCGGCAATGACAAGTGCGTTCAGGTGATGGGCGAACTTACAGGGAGTCAATGTCGAAATCATTGGTGGGCTATTCATCTACTTCAAGGTCGACGGTGGTGGGGTGACGTGCCCGGCGCGAGGGGAGATAGCAGGGCAGTGATGCAGGAGTTGATGGGCTTGAGGGAGAGGAGAGAAGCTGAAGGAGGGAGAGGCAGGAGGTTGGTGTAGTGGTTTAGGGGAAGTGAAGAGAGGGAGAGGAGGAGGGGAGAGGAGAGATCTCTTCTGAGCTCAGATGGAGGAGGGGAGAGGGAGAGGATCAGTTAGGGATGAAGGGTAGTTTAGGAATTTTTTAAATTTTTTGGATAAATACAGTACAAATAATGGGTGTATTGTACATTTGGGTTTAAAATAAGTGGGATGTATATAGTGGTCTATTTGATGTTTTGAAAAGTGAATGGGTTTTTAAATAAGTTGGCGGTAAAACTTTGGGTTAAAAGAGGATTTTCCAAAAAAATATCAGACCGCATTGTGACCACACCAAAGAATCCTGGTGGGAACCCACTTTATTTCTCCAGAACCCACTTCGTACGATAAGGGACGACGCGAAGCACGTGGGCACGCCTCCGACGCAAACCGACCGAACACTGACGAGAAAGTTAGGTACCCCAACCTCCTCCAACCACGTAAACACGCAGTTTGCGACGCCTTATTCGGATTAATTTCACAGAACCCCTTAAAACTTCCATGATTGTACAAAATCTGCCTCGAACCAAGAGAATCGGACAAATTCTTCCCTACTTCCGTACGATTTTTACAGTTGCAAAATCATTTCTTCGACTTGAATATCAAAACCAAGAGATTCAGCTAGACTATACCAACGCGTCACGCACTCATCACGTTAATACACGACCCACCACGCTCCGTACAACTCGCCATCCCAGCTGCGCATTCTAGCAACTTCGTGCAGACAAGAACTAACGCCAACTGACAACAGGAACAGAATAGATGCATGCACAAACATTACAAATTTCATAGAAGGCGACACAACGACAAAATGATGAAGCAAAACAAACTACCACATATCTACAAGAGTTATTGCTTGGAAATGACGAACATACCCCTACTACTAGGTTAAATTTACATCAACTGCCACTACGCCTAAAAGCCCACGTATCTACTTCTTCGCCTTCTTCGCCGCGGCCGCTTCTTTTCGGGCGGACTTTGCCGCCCGCCTTTTTACGCTCTTCACCTTCGGCTTCGCCGGCATCGCCGCCGCCTTCCTCTCGGCCGCAGCAGCTGCTTTCTTCGCCGGCACCGCGCGCCGTTCGGCCGAGGGCCGAGACTTCGGCTTCGCCGCCTTCTTCACGGCCGACTTCACCTTCGTCGCCTTCGTCTTCGCGGAGGCGGCTTGCGACCTTAGACTAGGCTTGCCCGCCGCCGCCGCGAGCTTTAGGCTTGGCGGGCGCGGCGGCGGGCTTCTTCGGGCGCGAGGCGAGCTGTAGGAGTCTTGAGTCTTGAGGTGCTTAGTCTGGTGTGAGCTTACGCCGGCGGTGAGCTTCCTCAGCTGCGAACGAGAGGATCTTCTTGAAGTTGGGAGGCAGCTGAGCCTTGCGCTTGTCCTCGATGAACTTGGCGATCGCGTACTGGCTCGATCCAGTCCTCTCCTTCAGCGAACGATCGCCTCTCCGCATCAATCTAAATTTCAACAAAAGCACAAACAATCAGATCAAAATCGACAAATAAAAAAAAAATCCTGATTTTGAGAAATCGCGATCGAACCTCGAGGTACGTAGGATGAGCGCGGAGCCGAACGGGGCTTCTTCGGTGCCGACGCGCTTCTTGGCTTCGCCGGAGTCGCTACGGCAGCGCAGGTTCTCGCTAGCGCCATGGCGGAAGAAATCTAGGGTTAGGGTTCCGGGGGTTCGGAAGAGACTACAGCGTGGGATTCGAGAGGCTCGAATTCGAATGCCGTGAACTAGTATCTGTTGATGGTCAGGTGGCCAGGGGGGTATAAATACCGTTACGACGTCGGTCCTGCTGCCACGTGGTGACACGCCATTTGTGGAGTTGGATTTCACGTGGATCGGTGTTGTTTTTATCTTTAAACGGCGGCCGTTGGATTAATTCGGCCTGGACGGCTGGTAATTATTTGGGAGGAGAGGAAGAGATGAGAATAGCTAGAGGGAGGAAAGGGTGTGTTTCTGCTCTGGATTCTTTTGTTAATAAGTTGATGTACAATTGGTGCATTTGAATGTGGCTTGAAGTAATAAAAATATATTTGGCTCAGCTTTCCATCGAATGTTATTTTGTCTAATTTGACCGAGTGGTTAGTGAGAAAATCAAATTTGAAGTTAGGGTAGTCACGTCGCTGTGTTTGTGCGACTTGGTGAGGATATTGGCCATCCTGGATGAAAATTATCCAAATTTGGTGCCGTTTTATGATCGTTGATGATAGTAGATTTGTAGATGAAGAAGTAGAACTTGGTACGATGAAATTTGGTTGAGAATTTAAAGAGTACCACCAATTTTAAGATTGAGTGATTGAAACATTTTGTGTATGCCTAGAAATGGCATTCTTGTATGCTTTTTTATAACAAACTAATAAATTGAAGAGATGGAGAATATAAAAGCTATGGCTAATTGAAGGGAATTTTCTTGTGTTACTGCAACTCATTGTGCAAGTCACTCAAGTTACGCATTTAGTTTAGTTACATCTTTATGCATTTAGTTTAGTTACATCTTTATCCTTGAGACGCATAATCAAACAACCCTCTTGTCAAATTTGCCAGTCTTTTGCTATCAAACAAAAGAAACGTAAAAATAAATCAATGAGATCAGCAATTCTTGAAAGTTGAAGATTCAGCAGAGCAACAACTAAAGAAAATAAAACATCAAAACATGATGTATGCATGCGATCGAGCTTGGTGCGTAGGGAAGTATCATTATATTCATCAGAAGTACAGCTTCACAAAAGGTACAATAAAGGAAAGACTCGTGAAGGAAAATATATCATGTAACACGTGTTGTGAACAGACGGCGGTGCCGAGGAACCAAAACAAACACCGATCAAAGAAGGCTAAAAACAACCAAATATCAATGCACAAACCCAAACACCAATTTTAACGTGGTTCGGCAATTGCCTACGTCCACGGGGCAAGAAGGGGGAGGGTTTCCACTAATAGAGAATGAGAGAACAAATTGAGATTACAAATCGCTCAAACGAACCAACTAATCTCACCAACAAATCTCTCAACCTCTCAACCAATAACCCTAACCAATAGCTCAGAAAGATCTCTCTTTTCTGTGCTCCAAAATCCCCAAATATGCTCCTACAAAACCCTCAAATCGTATTGGTATTTATACCAAAACAGAAACCCAAACAGACTGCAAATAGGAACCTGAACTTTCCAAAAAACCCGTCGTAAGTCGACTTATCAGTCTGCATAAGTCGACTTGGCAGAGCGAAAAACGACAACTGGAGAAGAGTTCATAAGTCGACTTAACAGGTCTGATAAGTCGACTTGTCAGAGCCCAAAATCAACAATCCACAGCAGATCGTAAGTCGACTTACGACACAAACATAAGTCGACTTACCATAAGTCGACTTATGCATGTGCATGAGTCGACTTATGACCAAAAATCTGCTTTTTCCAAGTTCTTCTCCACAATTCTCCACATCGGCGAAGTTTTTCCAAAACTGAGCCGACACCAACCAACAAATGCCTCACATGTTGAGACCCAAATGGGAGTGCGAACACTCACCCCAAATGTCGATGTCGCTCACCAAATCGGCTGCATCTGAAAACTGACTGCCTACGTATCCTCTCCAAGGAATCAAGCATTCTCGTAGTTCACCCAACCGGCCTCCAAAGGCCCTCAAACAAATAGAAAAGTATGCAACGCTTCCCCAATATCGCCGACGGGTCTGCGACTGATAGCAGCCCCAAACTGATACAAATCAAACACCTCCATATGAGGTGAACCAATGGCCGTATCCAAATCATGTCCACCTGCTGCGATATCCAAACGACCTGATCAACACTCTCCACCTGCCGAGAGTCAAAAGTGACATTCCTTCTCAGAACAAAATCAGAAGCTCCCAAACGATAATCAACTGAGCCTCCGAACCCCAAACGCGCAATCGGATCAAATCTCACATCCTCAATGTGACCAAATGCTGGGTATCCAAATATCTGACGCAACCCAAAATCTGAAGCAGCTCCACCAGATCCAATAACTCCTAATGCAGCAGTCGGCGACCTGTGACTAGGATGACCCAAATATGTCGAAGCTCCAGAACCAATGCTCGACAACCAACGCCGATCCTCCTCCAGAAAGGAGCGACCCATCGAAACTGCCATCTCATCTCGTCGCCCCAAAATCTTCACACCAATGAAGTGTCTCCTATTGCCGTGAGCTCGGCACAAACACAAGAAAGGACCCCTACCAAATCTATAACAACGAGTTACCTTTCTACCAATACACTTCTTCCAATTATTGTTGACTTCTAGGACTTTACACCAATGAGAACTGGTCGCGACCCAATAATGCCTAGAACAATCATCAACTGCGGAAACTAAGATACGATTACCTCCCAATGATGCCTCCTTGGAAGGCCCCTAAATGCCTGACTGAACACCTCCTAAAAGACCCCTCGCTCGATGGATAGGAATGCCAAGCTCCACCACGGTCTTGCTCATCCCAATAAGCTTACAGGACTTCAATCTGCAGGTCATAGCACTCCTCAACAACCAATGCACGGCATTACCAATCATATACCCCAGCACCAAATAATGCCACAGTCTAGCTGAATCTGATGAAGTCGTCATCTCCCTAACAATCACCGTGCTTCCAAGCAAATAGTACAAATTACTCCTTCTGACGCCCTTCATCACAATCATAGACCCAAATGTAACCTTCAAGCGTGCATCCGCCAAGATCACCCTATAGCCTGCTGCCTCCAAAGCTCCAAGTGAAATAATGTTCTTCCTTAACTGAGGAACGAACCTCACTCCAACCAACTCCCGAATCACTCCGTCACTCATCCTGATCCGAACGGTACCGATACCACCAATAGAGCATTTGTGATCATTCCCCATGAGTACGAAATCCCCTCTTTCCAACTCCTGGAAGCTGGAGAACCAATCCCTCCTAGGGCAAATGTGGTATGTAACCCCCGAATCCAACATCCACTCTATAGAGTAGGCAACACAAACTGACGGCAGTGCAGATAATGAGTAGCCCGAAGAATCCGAATCTGAATCGTTACCACTAGCCTTGACAACATTTGCCTCTGAAGCTTGAATAGCTTTTCCCTTATTCTTCCCGGCTTGATCAACTAACTTTGGGCATTCGGCTTTCCAATGTCCATCCTCTTTGCAAAAGGCACACTGATTCTTACGAACTCCAAGATGTGCCCCTCTAGACTGCGATCTCCCACTACGGTTTGGACCCTTTGCTCTTGCGACCAACGCCCCCGCTACCGACTCAATCGAAGTCTCCTTATCCTTCTTTCGAAGCTGATAATTCACAAGTGCAGCGGTGACCTCACTATACGAAAGAGATGTCTTCCCATTAATAAGAGTAAGAACGAAGGTCTCATATTCCTCGTCGGGCAAGGAACTCAACAACAACAACGCCTTGTCCTCATCTTCAATCACCACATCTACATTCGCCAAATCCACACCACACGCCGTTCGATTCATCTTTTTCCAAACCTTCTCATCAATGTTGTCCGGTTTCCCGTCCAACTCCAACGTATCTTCCAAATTTTGCGCGTTGAGCACATCCATGACTTCGCATCGCCAAAGTCCAAAATTATTTGTACCATTGAACTTTTCCACGTCAATCTTCATCGAGTGGATATTCAAGCTTTGGACGGTCTTCACGCCGGAAGTACTGCCCACAACTCCTTCTTTCTCGGCCATAATCCCCAAAACACCATCAAACCAATGCGGAAACAAACGAGAAATAGATCCAAAACTAAAAAAGATGAGATTTTTACCAAAAAAAACCCCACCTTTATCACCAAACGAAGCCCTTGAAGAACTTCCAAAGCGATCTACTCCTCCAAATAGCCCAAGCGTAGCCCGAGCTCTGATACCACTTGTTGTGAACAGACGACGGTGCCGAGGAACCAAAACAAACGCCGATCAAAGAAGGCTAAAAACAACCAAATATCAATGCACAACAACACGATCATTGGTTCCGAGTTTAATTAATTACGCTGCCGAGGGACTCGAGCTTCATCCTTTCTAATGCATCTTCACATTTGGCCTCGGTCCAAAGATCCACATAAATAAGCTGAGAGTTGGCCTACTTCAAATTTTCCTTCCACCACCCAGCAACAGCCCCATTCTGTTTCATGCTTTCTTTGCAATGACCATAATCTTCCACTGAAATCATGAGAGCATAAATATTTAGTACCGAGAATAGCACAAAAATTAAGCTCATCAGCATAAATAGTTTCAGAAAAGAAGAAATTTTCTAAATAAACTCATTCATACTTTTTTTTAAAAATCGACCCACTTCTTTTTTTTATTAAACGCGTTGCTAAATAGTCGGGGTTGACAACCCCGACTATTTTGGACGCCCTGGGTAATTTACAAGCTAAATTAGTCAGGGTTCGAAACCCCGACTAATTTAGCACACTTTCTAATTGGTCGGGGTTGGGAACCCCGACGAATTCGAAAGCCTTAGTTTGAAACGTCGGGTTTGCCAACCCCGACCATTTAGCAGAGACTTTTACTAAGTTTCAAAAGAGTCGGGAATTGGCTAAGGCAAAATAGTCAGGGTTCCCAACCCCGACTGTTTTGTAGAGATCTTCCGGCCCACATTCAGCTAGAAAATCATACCCCTGTTAATACATATCAATTCACCAACTCTTAGTACACATTTATCAATCCACAATATAATCACAAACACAAATAACACACATACCAATCCATAATCGCAAACATTCATTTCA